TCTGCAGTTTAAATTGCTCGGCATCATACCTTTCGATGCGATTTCTCATCTGGAAAAAATTTGGATTCTTTTAAGGACTCCGTTGGGGCTCGGGGCTCTTCCTGGAAAGTCGAGGGCAGAAATCAATACGTGCACATAGAGTACCAGTAGACAAAATGTGAGACACACCCTGAAGTCCTGCCTGCTGCAGTGCTCCTGTTTTTTTGTTTTTTTTTCAGGACAGTCAGAAAACCGTAGAGGGTTTCCTATAAGTTGAAGAATTTGCTTCAGCTGGCATGGCATGAATGGAGTCTAGTAACTTTGGAGAGACCGCTTTAACAGCTGTTTCTCGTTTCAAATAAAGGACATCACCATAAACAAACATGGTCCCTCTGCAGGGATCTTTTCTGTAATGTTGTCAGACACTTAAATTACAATCAAAGAGTCATCAGCAAAAAGCAGCACTTGTGATGTGCCAAAGAGAATCTCTGCAAACAGATCAGCCAGGTCTCAAACTGAGAAGCTATCCAGCTAAATCAACCCAGCTTCTCTGTTTGTATTTATGATATAAGAAGGTTTTTCAAGCAGGAAAGTAGAGTATGCAAAAGCTTAAATGCAGGGAAAAAAGCAAAGGATGGGCACATTGACCCTGCTCTCTGCCGCTGTAGCTAATTTATGCCTGCGGTGGAAGTCCATTATTGTCACTTTTGTTTATTTGGGACACTACTAATGTGCAGAAATGCCAATTAGAGAGCCACAAAAAGCACTCAGCTGGATGATTTTTTCCCCCCTCTTCCCAAATAAAGTGCCATCTGTGTACCTCCCATCTGATGGAATGGAGTTATCCTTAAATGCCTCTCTGTGAGGACCTCTAGTAGGTGTGACTGTTGGATTTTTGGCACAGTTTGGAGTGTAATAAAGTTTTTACAGTTGTACATAGCTCAGGAAGTAAACAACACATTCATATACAGTCCTTCCATAGTCTCTGCATGGTAGGTGGAGCACTTCCAAGACCTGGATGGGCGTCAACGTCTCTTGGTTATGTCATCAGCAAAGTTTTTTTTAACTCAAACAAGCCAATCAATTAGACATGTAATTGTGAGTTTATTGTAAACGACTTTGGCAGCAGCGACCGCTTGTTTTGTTACCATAGGCAACAACACAGCATTGTTAATTTCACTCACTCCCTTTTTCATTTGCAATATAAACTGAGTGGAAAGAGTATTGAAGTATGTGTTGCTGCACAGGCCAGAACCCTCAGGATTTTGATTATGTTGCTCAATTTGGAAAAGCTGTATAAGGATATTTAATGCCACATATGCTCCAATGCCTTGTTCTCTGCATATGGACGCTTATGTGGTCTTTTCAATAAACAGTGTCTGTGTCCAATAAAGTTCTTACAATTTGCATTTTCTCTTTTATTACCAGCAACTTTTATCTTTATTTAGTTGGCAAGCCCCAATCAAACTTGGATCATTAGTTAAAGGACGAGTTAGCGGACCTTAAAATGGGACTGCTTTTTCAACAGATGTCCGCAAGGTCAGCTATTTGTACAGTTACATAATATGTGTCTATCTTCATGCATTTTAGAGGCCTGCATGATCCGTCCATCCATCCATTATCTTTACCGCTTTACCCGTTCGGGATTGCGGGGGGGGCGGAGCCGATCCCAACTGTCATTGGGCGAGAAGCAGGGTTCACCCTGGTCTGTTCTCCAGTCAATCACAGGGCTGACATATAGAGACAGACAACCAGCCACTCCCCTAGCTACGGGCAATTTAGAGTCACCAATTAACCTAACGATAGAAAAGGTGCATGATACGAGAAAAATATGCAATGTTCAGAAACACAGTTCAATAATGCGATAATGATATGAGGTGCGATCAACAAAAATGAAAAGTACATACTATATAGCTATAACTTACAGATTATTTGTCCATTTGCTGTTCATGTTTGACACAATAAGTCTTGATGTTGACGATTTGTGGGCACTTGTTACAGATATGCGTTATGTAAATTACGTTAATATCAAACCTGATAGATCTAATCGGTCCCATGTCTAATGAGTGTAACTGATGGCTCTCTTTATCTGACTCCATGAAAATGGTATTGTGCCCATGCTTCCATCCAATTGTTCCACATGCTGAGTGAGAAAGCATTGCTTGTTTTCATAAGATAATCCTATTTATTGTGATGCATTTAGATGTTTGGGATGGCTTTATTGCAAATGATTAAAGAGCCATGAGGAGATATGGTGGAATATAAATGTAAATTTAACCAGTTTCTCTTGAATGTAAAATGAGACAACAAGGAATTTACTAACAAGTTCTCAGCGGCATACAGTCAGGAGATTCTAATGTTTCTCTAACGTCCTGCTTCAGAGAATAAGCCCTCCCATCTACCCGCTCTGTCAGTAGCCTCAGCCACTGTGTGTGATATAGATAGGAAGCTATTGATAGAAATATCCCCATGAGGAGTTTCACTTTGCTCATTATCTGTTGTGTCTCGTTATCTCTGCGTCCTACTCTGACTTCCAGTAATGTACCTGTTTATCTACGTATACCGTACATGACAGCCTGTCCATCGTCTTGTTTTTCCATCAATCTTAATATTTGTTCCAGCCAGGAAATCTTTTGGGCAACCATGCGTCTGTCCGTGTCCTTATTAGAACTGTAGAAACCTGTTGCATGGATGAACCAGCTTTCAGGCCGTCCCCAGCTGTCTGGATATGAAATGCTCTCCAGGGTGAAACGCGGCAAACCGAAGCAGAGCTTCCTGTAAAGCTTCTCAAGCCAGCTGTTATTCCATTTCCAAAGTAGTTATGCAAGCTTTAATGCTTTTTGCATTTTCTTTATTTTCTCCGCTTTTTGTCAGCGTGTTTTGAAGCAGCATTTAGGCTGAGTTACAAAAATGGGCTATCAGTTGTTGCATGTTTTAATGGTTAATTTATCAGGTTATATAAAATTCTTATTAGTCTTAAAATGGCTGCAATGTTAAGTTATTTCTTCCTTAATGATTGATGTGTGTATTTGGATTGACAAGGAGATATTATGCATTTTTATTCCTTTACCGGGCAGATTTGATTTACCTTTCTTTGATTTGATAGCTCAAAATAGACAATAAAAAATTCTCAAATTCTGTATCGAGACATCATGCCAGCAGGGTTTTAAATGTGACAGTGGATGAGATGTTTTCATGGCAGTTGTAATTGGATTGAACATGAGGAAACATGCAGGTCGTCTGGATTATGACGGCAGCTGCAGCACTCAAGGAAAGGCCGCCAGAGTTATCCATTCAATCATTTCAATTTTAAAGCAACAATGGAATATTCTGTTTCCCCTTTTTTCATGAAAAGTCATTGGACAACTTTTGCATAAACTTTTTTTTTCTGCATCCAGTACAGAGATATAATGTGACTCACTTTAACTTCAACTCATTTGTCCATTTATCCACTGTACGTTACTTCTCTTTGACTGAGCTTGTCACTCCTGTAAACCACTTCCTTGCACCAGTTCCGCACACCTCTTCCATTTCTTACTTCTTACATCTTAATGCCTTACTCTGTGCTGTGTATGCTATTCTATGACGATGTTTTCTATGATACAAAGTGTGCTGTGCATTACTGCGTTCATTAATCACTGAGTCCATGCTTGCATTACTCCATACACCTTTTTATGTCACTTTGTATGTTTATTCAGTGACTCCACTGCTCACTTAAAGGCGCTCCATACATCACTCTGTACACTGACGTCTTTTCTCAGTGTGTTACTCAGTTGATTTCTTGGTGTGTTACTCGGTGAGTCACTGAACTAACTTGTTGTGTTTCTCTGTGCAGTACTCTGCATGTGTTTCTGTGCATCGCATCACATTTTAGTTAATATTTTACAGTCTAATGTTAGTCCTTGTGTTTGTCTGTATGTTACTGTTTTTAACACAGTGTGCTATTCTTAACATTACATCATCCATTACTCTGCACATTGCCCTGGAAGTTACTCTGTACAACACTCTATCCTTACTCCATGTGTCACTCCATACATCACTCTGGTGTTGACTTTCCACCATACATTATATGCTGATCTTCTTAAAGAGATACTTCAGATACATTTTGAAGTTGGTGCCTTCTTGGCCGAGAAAAGGCAGAAAGTGTCTTTTTCGTTCATGTGGATGAAAGACACCAAATCCCAGAATGCCCGGCACCGCAGGCCACTCCCACTAAGGTCCTCTAGTTCAGAATCAGAATCAGAAATACTTTATCAATCCCAGAGGGAAATTCGATCGTTAAAAAACTAAATCAACCTAGATTATTCTTTAAATATGAAAGGGTTAAAACATTTAAATTATTTCACAAATAAATGCACATGTTCAGTCAATAAACACAGCATATTTTTTGTTTTTAATGACAACAAAAAAAGTTGTAAAATTATCATTGTCTCCTTCCTATTGAGAAGCTAACTCCAGGACAGTACACTAAGGGACAACATTACCATCTGAAACTATTTTTAAAAAGAAACTCAGTCAGGACAGAAAATACAAAAAGTTAATATCACAGTGAATAATTGGCAATTACCAAAACCATCAGAACAAGTGGTTGTTCATTATCATTTCTTAAATACGAACAAAATCACGATTAAAACAGGTCACATTGTGTCCATGGATGTGTGGAAATGCACAGTTTTTTATACATGTACTCAAAGTATACAGGTTGCATTTAAATATTTATGTTTTTTCTGTATTTCTTGTAAAGTACACCAGACATTTAACTCAAAAATGTGTTGTGAGGTTGTGAGCAACTTTACTTTTGCATGTTTGACCACTAGATGTCAGCCTACGCAGATGAAAAGTGTCATGATGGTGCCACTAGTCTGGCCTCTAAACACATTGGTTCTTTGTTAGAATGCCACAGCAGGGACAGAGAAGTAGTGTGCACATTATACCTAATTTTAAGAATTTGAATGTAGTGTCTTTGTGCAGCTATAAGTCAAACATGTGGTCACTGTCGCTCTCCTTGTCTCTGTGTTCAGGTAGGTAGGTTCCCAGATGTCTGAGGAGGCTCTGAGGATGACGTCTCAGCCTTGAACCCCACCAGTATGTCAGGTAAGACGTCTGGCCTGATCACCCCAAACACACACACTCACAGCCTCATGAGCTCAAGGTTCATTTAACATAAGATTAACAGTGTGCAACGGTGCTGTGGAGTTTATGATAGTCAAGCTTAAGACAATGAGGAAAATACTCCAGATGAAAACTCTTAACTGAAACCCAAACGTCCCGTCTCTGATGCAGTAAGCCATCATTTATGTGCTTTCTAAGCTCACGAAACTGAACTCTTACAATGAGTAAATCTGAAAACTGAAATCAGGACTTTTATAAAGTGCCATTTACACATGATCAGTTGTGCATTCACTTTGTGCTCTGTCAGCAGAGATAGTGGAAAGGTCTTACCTTGCCTTTTTAACTTTGATCGTAAACATCAGGGGCTTTGCAAAGTTCAACTTTTACCTTTTGACTTTGTTGACGTTTCTTTTGTCTGTGTGCTCTCCAGCTCGTCTTTTAAACCAACTCACACATGCTCTCAAAAATCATTACAGTTCAGGAAGTTTGTTCAACAGTTTAACAGCAAGCAAGCAAGCAAGCGAGGAAGGTGCAGCTCAGATAGCAGGAGGCCCATAAATGCAAGACAAGAATGGATTCTTTACATCTGCTTTAATCCCTGCAAGTGAGGTGTGAATTCAGAATCTGTAGGCGAGGGACTAGATTATCTGTGTCAAAATATCTGCGTTCCATTTACAGATAGATGTCAAAACACATTTTTGCAGACTCTATAGCTGCAAAAATGTGCAAAAGGAAACATTGACAAGAAAGTTGGATTTTGCTTTTAAAAGGTAAAGACATCTGGAGAGCAAAAAGGCGAAGAATGCATACGTAGACAATCCATAGAGTTAGACATGCATTGTCATGTAATAGTGTGGGCACAGGTATCCACTGAAAAGCCCCTAAAAATGCAGATGATCCCAGGTAATGCACCACTTCCTCTGGGTATTGTTTATTAGTTTTTGCATGCTTTAGATAATAGAGGATATCTACGAGGGATCTCCTCATGTACATCATTAAACTATAATTTAAAATCTTTCTTTTTTTTTTTTAAACTCTTGTAGGCTAGCTGGACCAAGTCAAGACCAGATAAATGTCATTTAAGGATAGAATACAAATTGTAAATCTTTATAGTAAGACTACAGCATGCAGGAATGTCAACGAGCACCTTTGTAGTTACAATCTTTCTGCCTGCATCTAGGGCACGTTAATGCATGTGCTCTAGACTTTGCACCCCTTCCTATTAAAACAGACATCAATACACATGTAGGTTAATGTTCCGAAACCAGCATGACATGCAGCTGCACAGAGCAGGCTGTTGGAAGAGTACAAGTTGTCTCCACAGTTTAAATGTATGCTATGGTAGACTTTGTTTAGTATTATAGTTTGATCTGGTTCATGTAAACATCGTACCAGGCCCTGCAGGTTTTTGATCATCTGCCCGCAGGTGTGTCTTGATTTCTCACCGGCTGTTTTCAAATCCACACACTAACATACTGCCTACTACACACTCAAACAGTATATACTGCATACGGCGTACTAACCCGACCGTTAGTGTACTGTTAGCAACGTACTAACCTACGGGTCATGTGACTTCTGGTCCGAGCTACATTAGATGAGTTAGCATCAAGCTCGTACGACCATTTGTACTGAAATAGAATCTTACAAAAATATACATCAATGTATTTCTAATACTGCTACGTAGTCATTTTAATGTATTATTCGTCAGCATGTAAGGCATATTACAGTATGCTAATTTTATTTGTATGGCTGGCTAGCTCTTGCTTTTGGATAGTCGGATAGCCCCAATGCATTATGTTGCAATTTAGTATGACCAGTGTGCTCCACATACGTAAAAGAATCTGGCAAATCTAGTATACATCCTGGCATTGTTTGTTTATGGTATATTTTGTGGCTTTGTATGCCTTTGTAGAGAGCCAGGACAGGGGATAGATTCAGAAATCGGGAAAGAGAGAGGAGGGAATTACATGGAGGAAAGGAGCCACAGGTCGGATTCAAACCTGGAGGACTCCAGGCATCCATTCATGGGGCACATGCACTAACCACTAGGCTACCAGTGCCCCTACATCCGGGCATTGTTTGCATACACAGAAGTGTATACTATGATTTTGGATCATATTAAAAACTCAATAAGATGTCACATTTAGTATTAGTTTAGTTTAGTTTTACGTGCACAAAAGGAAACAGGCTCTGAAACCCCATCAGTGCATGTTAACACACTAACTAACAACACCAGGGAATGTAAACTTGTATCCAGAGTCAAATCAAAACCACTTGTGTGATTGTTAACAAACTCAGGACAGGTGTTCAGGACATTATTGCAGCTTTAGAGCACCTACACACTGATCATGTGTTAACGGCATTTAAAAGTGAAGAGTTCTGCTTCCTTGATCACCAGAGGACCTTTGGCAGTAAGATGCAGTGAAGTGTTTCATCGCTCTGCAATAACAAAAAAAAAAAAGCTTTTGTGATGAGAGGAATCATAAAATCCTGCTCATCGAAATCCCTTCTTTTAGCCACAAATCGTACGAAAATCAAACTCATGTCTAGTGTCAGTCCAATACAATTCAGAAATGTGTTTGTTTTAATTAACGAGTTAAATTGCTCAGTTTGAATGTCCAGTCTGCACCTCCTTTATCACAGGTCACGCAGTTCAAACTAAGACAGCTGACACACATTAAAAGAAAGGACACGGCTCATTATGTACTTGAGAAAAGGGACAGGACATCCATACATTGCTCGGTCAGTCATTCGTTTACTTAATGGACACACCCATCACGTGTGGGTTTAGCTGGTGACCTGACTGACCCAGCACATATGTTATCGATCTGAGCATAGACACCAGCTGAAATGTGCTTACCATGAACCTGTTCCCCTCACTCAGCGAGCGACACCACCACCACCACCACACTGTTACACAATGATGTTTCTGATGTTTGTTGTTATTGTTTTGATTATTATGAAGCATCTGACTGTTGATTCCTTTTGATTTGATGTGAAACAAATACAAATAAAAAAAGAGGAGCGTCAGTGTGCCTCCTTCACCTGTGTCACTCAGAGAATAGATTCTTCTTTTTTAAAAGTGCCTCTCCCATCTATTTTAGAGCCAGCAGAAAATTGCTCCCCCCGCTGGAAAGATGAGGCCATTCAAAATGGTAATATTTATCCTCCCTCTCAGCTCTGCTTTTTTTTCCCCCCCTCCTCCTCCTCTCTGTCAGTCTGTCTGGGTGAGCTCATGATGCATGTGGAAAAAATACATGCTCCAGACTTTAACCCTCTTCAGCTTCTGCTTTAAATGTTGTGTGAGACTTTGAATGTCATGATTGACTCTGTGTAGACCACTCTGTAATAGCAATAACTGTTTTATTTATAAAGCACATTTCATTAGAGATGACCTCAGTGTGCTTTAAAAACACAGCATGTGACAAGAAAATCATTCAAAAAAGTTATGAATTGAATCAGTAAAGTCATACACACAACAAAGCAAACGTCACTTACCATACAAGTGATCGATTATAAACTCACACACACACACACACACACACACACACCTTCAGGTCTCCTCTTGGCAAAAATTGTAAAACTACACCAGACTGGTTTTAACATGATTTTAGGATGACTTAAAGCTTGCCCAAGAGGTGACCTCAAAAATGTCCCCTGTTGTTGTTGTGTAACAATGAGCAAGTCCCCTGTTAGATAGGTACGCAGGTGCACTCAGATACACACACACACACACACACACACACACACACAAACACACACACCCACTGCTTGGGAGAATAGATAGGTTTTGAGTTTTGCTTTAAAAGTAGAGAGTGATGGACCTCAGCTCAACAGGAAGCTTGTTCCAGAGAGAGGGACCCCAGTAACTAAAGGCCCGCTCTCCAGACTTTGATCTAATTCTGGGTATGTCAAAAAGACCTCCACCTGATGACCTGAGGGTTCGGGTCGGGTTGTAGAATGTGAGCAGGTCAGACATGTACTCAGGAGCTGAACCAGTGAGAGCTTTATGGACTAATAAAACGTTTTTGAAATTGATTCTGTGTTGTACGGGGAGCCAGTGGGGTGTTTTGAGGACTGGATTGTTGTGGTCACATTTTCTAGTCCGTGTCAGGTCTGTAAGCGCTCACTGGGAGAAATGTAGGAAAAACAGTTTCTTCTTTTTCACATCTTCAAGGCTGTGGCGGATTTTAGCTGTGTGCTTAACATTTTGAAAAATTGGTTTTTAAAAAGCAAAAAGCAAAATATAAAATCTTGGTTCAAACATTAAATACAGTTTCCTTATCTATGTGATTCTATTGACCTTTTTCTAGAATCAAAAACTGTGAGAGTTAAAGCTCATTCATTATCTAAAGCGTCCCATCATCGCAAAGTTCATTACTGCCATCGTAACCTTACTGTGTGGTTGTTGTGATCAAATGTTTGTTGGGTCATTTTCCAAAAATGGGAATACAACGGCATGAGTTCGACAAAGCAAAACAAGGCACACATTGTGATATCGCAGTGCCTGCCTCCTCAAGCCCCCCCCCCCCCCCCCCCACAATCCCCCAACCCTGACAGTGAACGCCACACAAAGAGCAAGAGAAGGCAAGAACCCCAGTACCCAAAAAGAGACCGAAAATATTAATATCACAATAAAAAACAACGTTGCTACATGTGGTGAAAATGTGCAGGCCTCTTGAGCTGCCAAGATCTGGGTGCAGGAGGGAGTTGTGTGCATAATCCGGTTAACATAAGGAATTATAAAATACACAATAAATGGAGTATAAGTTCCAACTAAACATTTAAGTTATGCAAATTTCTAAATAGAAGTAAGATACCCCAAGACATCCTGTCGGAATAAGCATCAACATTGAAGAAGACAAATTAAAAATGAAATAAATGTCCCCTCTGGTCATTACGTTTACATTTATGAACACATAAAATCATCTCAAAGTTCATATTTTAATTTGTCTTTTTGTGTTTCTGCATTCAGAATATTTTGGATGTTAATGTTTTTGTGAGGGAATGTGTGAAACATTTAAGGACCAAAGGAAAGCATCAGCACAATAAATTGCGCAAAAGAAAATAAGATGATGAGTCAATAATGAGTTAATGTGTTCTGCAGCGCTTTTTAAAATGTAGCACAATAAAGTTCAATTTATATTGTCTACACACACACAGGAACACACACAGTCAGGCTCTCCGACAAGGTCTCCATCATGCCCGGCAGCTGTTATATTCTCTGCAAAGATCAGTGCTGCGTTCAAGGACACTTCAGGCGTTGTTGTAAGAAGCTCGGTGTGACCTTCAGTGTCATCGAGGCCTGCTGTGAACACTCGCGTCTGCTCCTCTGTGATGAAAGAATGGCTCTTTTAAATTGCCTGAAATCATATTTTACAGTCCAAGGTTGAGTAAAAGTGCGTATTTATTTGAGTGCACGTCTGGAGCACATTCAGGGACAGCAGTGCGATATGAAATACATTTTCCTGATAGCACTTTGCACGTCTGTCTTCGCTGTTCTTATCACACTTCCTCCTCCAGGTCTCTTGAATAGATTAGCAAACAAAGCACTGTGTCACGCTGTGTAGGCTGCTTGCGGTGTCTTTTTTTCCCCTGAACATTTCAACCATCTGAAACAAACAATATGAGCATCGTTCACATCTTTTACAGGGAAACAGCTGCAAAACATCGGCTCTCAGAAAGAATTAAAGGCAGGAAATATCACTGAAACTAAAGAAAACTTCACTGCCCTAGATCTTTTGATTCAAGTCTAAGGAAGATGGAGAGGTGAAAACTAAAACGAGCGGGCCTATTTGTTCAGTCTAATGCACAGAAAAAATGTAATAAATATTTTCAAGTAGTAGTAATTTATTTCAGTCAGCTTTTACCATTCAACCACTACACATAAAAAGGTGTGGGCTGAAGCTTATGCCTAGCTGATTATATTCAGCTATAGGCAAACCTTTAACTTCTAGGTTTGAGCGATAACGATGCAGAACAGACAAACATTTTAAAATATTTTTAAGTTCCATAACGAAATAATTCAAGAAAGTCACAACCAGGAGTTTCTTTCTTTCATTTTTACTGTTCTCCATACCTCTGACCTTTTCACCTTATTCCTAAACATTTTTTTAATGAGGAAAGCAACGACACATTTTGAATTCATTGTCACAGCTGTCCCCCGCAGGACAGGGCCTTTCTGTGTAGAATTTCATCGTTACCCATGCATGCTTACGTTCCCCTTCCGACCATTTCCCAAAGACAAGGCTTGTTAGGTTAATTGCTGTTGGTATGAATGTGAATGTGCCTGGTTGTTTGTCTCTGTATGTCTGCCCTGTGATTGACAAGCAACCAGTCAAGGGTGTACAACGCCTCGCGGATTGGCTCCAGCACCCCGCGACCCATTCGGATGTAACATCTGTTCCACAAGTTGACCCCGCTGACCGATACACATCTCTGCTTTATACTTGTCATTGTTCCCCTCAGTATATACCAACTCTCTGATTTCAAACAACCTCTGAATACTGAGGCAAAGTCAGTTGTTTTGTTTCAAACTTCTAAAGTATGAACCAACCAGTTTGTTGTTACCCCCACACAATAAGTCATATATGGAACTAAAAGAGAACAGTGTGTCTCAGTGTGTTAGAAAAAATGTTTCAATCAGGAGAGACGAATAAATACATGATGATGATGTGATATTGAATGATTGTCAGAGAATCTTTGCCACGTGAACTTGACAGTGAGGCAGGGTGATTGAAGATGTCTGAGTGGCTGCAAGAGCTAAACCCACACACACACACACACACACACACACACACACACACACACACACACACACACACACACACACACACACACACACACACACACACACACACACACACACACACACACACAGAGTCCATACGCGCTGGTGGCTGACTGTGGCGTTGCCTTCCCGTCTTGGCCAAAAAGTTGCACTAGAAAACACCACGTCGGGCGAGAAGACCATTTTCACACCGCTGTGACGGGGGTTAGTCCCGGAGTTGTAGGGCTACAACTTCGGCCCTGGAGCAGACCAATAAGTCTCCCCTGTGACCACGGTCGGAACGGCGAAGCAGGAAAGGCTAACACTTGACATCATATCCGGGGGATGATGTCAGTAAATTCGAGATAAAACACAGACTTTGTTTATCCCGTGTAAATGCGCCGCACTAAACACAGACGTGGTGGGGTAATTTCTAAATCACATGAGGTCCCCAGGTAATACAAGTCGCGTGCGAATAGGGCTTTATTCAGTGGTTATCCCCAAAGATATTTAGATAAAACTATTGTTTACACTATTAAAACACATTAATACCTCAGGGGGATATGTAACAAATTCAACTATAATATGAGCTGTTAACAAACGAAGTGAACTCACCCTAGCTGGTTGGTTTTTATGCATGTTTCACTTGGAGTATAAGTATGTCTTTAACCCTCTGGGACTATCAATAATTCACAGTTTCAAGAAAATGTTTTGAAAACAAACATAAGTGAGAGGCAGCGTGACGTCCCCATTTAGCGCTCTCAGCTGCCTTTTCTCGCCTCATCTCCGCATGAAAAATAAATAAAGTTGAGCTACTTTGAATAAAACATGCTTTATACACTGAGGGGTAGACACTCTCCACGGGGGGGGTTGTCCAGCACAGTGAGCACAGTTTGAAAACTGTCTGTTTTAGTTCACTAACTTTAAATCACTGAGAAATCTGTGCGAAAAACAGTTTTGAGTTTGTGGGAAAAAAAAGTGCAGACACACAATCCACATGCACACTGCATCAATACACCTGTGTTTGATCTGCTTATAAATGTAATCAGAGGAAGGAGAGAGCGTAAATATGCACCTGTGATGTGCATCTGACTAATGAAGGGAATGTAAGCTCTGATTTGTTGAATGCATGTTACGCTGCGGGCAAAATCAAGTCAGTCAAAGTCAGGCTAAATCCTTAATGCGAAATGCAACCCCTCTGCACATTGCACATACGTTGCATTCTTTTTTTCTGCCATTTTATCAGCACCAGTTGAGCTGAAAATCCCCTCAATACACCTTCATCATGCACTATGGATTGATCAAATAAGGCCCATAATGTTTGACCATATTGTATCTCAAAGTTTGATCCAAAGGCAACTGGACATACAGTTGAAGATCTTGAAG